TAAGGGGTGGGGGCCTGATGGGGGCAACCTGCGAGGTGACTCAGAAGCTGTTCAAACGGAGAGCCCACCCCCCGACGATCGTCAGGCCCTCCTCCTCCAACTCGTTCCCCCTCCCCATCCTTCATGGCCGTTTTGGCTCGAACAATGCCGTGCCCCATCTGCTTTGGTCCGTTGTCGCAGGGGTCGGCGTGGTTTTGGCCATGCGGGCACGCCGCCCATGAGCAGTGCGTGCGAGGGCACGCTCGAGGCACAGCCGATGCCCTCTATGCAGAGAGCCAGGGAGTGCTCACTATGGCGACGCAGTGATGGAGTCCGCCCCTTCATCTGCAGGTGCGCATTTGCCGGATCCCCCAAACGTCATCGTGTTTTGCTGCCCTAGGTCGCAGATGGCCGATGGCGACTTTCAACCTGATCGCTCAGACCGCCGAGCCCGATGGTCGCCGAACTACGTGAATGACACCTACGAGGAAGGGTGGATCTGCATGACGTGCGGCAACGAATACAACGACATAGGCTTCCAGCTCGAGCGGTTGCAGGCACCGTGGTGCCTGGAGCATAATGCATCTTGCAGCCTGGTTCTGGACATGCACTCTGCCAATGCGTTCTTCGCTTGCGGCATTCCTATGGAAGCAGACATCCCGATGCCACGCGCCGCGCGCCCGCGGGTTCAGATCCGCGGTCGTTCTGCAGAGGCGCCGATCGTAATTGAGTCGCAACCAGAAGTCGAAGCTCCACCGATTGAGCCACACGCCGAAGAGGAAGCTCTACCAGATACGTCTGAGGAGGTTGCAGAGTTGCGGCGCATTGCCGCTCGTGTAGAGATCATTGAGGAGCTTATTGAGCTCAGTCCAATTCTAGGCGACGCGTAGCTGCTTTGCCACTTAGCGCCTCTAGTGCGTTCTCGAAGTCCAGGGGTTGTTCAGTTGAAATCATCATCGTTTGCAATGGCCTTCCAAGGTGATCAGACATGCAGGGGGTTTCGGGCGATACATCAGTCGAGGCCCCGTTGGCAGCCTGACGAAGACTAAGGCGACGCTCAGCAGGGATTCAGTAGGTTCCAGAGGCCCCATTAAATATTAATTGGCCCAAAATTAATAAAGCAATGAAATTAATACAAAATGGATCATAATGAATTACAAGGAACCATTGTGTATTAATTTCATCGTTTATGAATTTCAGCCGAATTAATATAAAATGAAATCCAGGACGATCTAGGTGTCGGGGTAGCCCAAACTGAAACGACGGATTGACCATTCAAGTAGCTTGCCTGGGCCCACCCAATTCTGCATCTCCGTAGCCATCTTGCTCTCAGAGTATTGCGCGCGCCCTGAGAGGCCGGGGACTTTCATCCGTTGAACCATGCCAGGCCGGAAGCCGCTGCAACAGGACCAGCTGCCGAAGGCGTGCGTGGAGTTCAAGAAGCTGCTCGAACAGAACGGCGGCATCGATCCGACTTCAGCGGGATCGAAGGCGGTCTCGAAGCAACGTGATGCTGCAACGATGGCGATGCGCAACCACTTTGAGCGGCACAACCAGGCCAAGCTCATGGAGCACGAGGGTCTGCACGATGATGGGGGGCGTGCCGAGTGGCTTGCGGAATGCTTCCTGAACCCTGCTGAGGGAGGGTCCCTAGGTAAAACTTGGACGAATCGCACGACTGGCACGGAGGACCAGAAGCAGGAGCATTGGTTGACGATCGAACAGTTGGCGGGCCCAGAGTTTCTGAATTCGATGGAGCACGCGAAAGTTGCTGCACTGACCTGTCCTTCACGTCCGCACGCGGAGAGCCAGGCCCTGAGGGAGAATGGCGCGCTCCAGTACCAGTGGTTCACGACGGTCAAGAGCACCGCGAAGAGGACGGAGCAGGGCGCCGCCGTGGAGACCACTGCCACCATAGCTAATGAGAGCGCGGGGGAGGTCGCGGCCCACATGGCAGACACTAGGAACCCTGGCTTCTCAAAGCCCACAGCTGCGACAGTCCAGCGCGCCGCCAAGAAGCGCAAGGCCGTGGGCGACCCGAGCCTCAGCCCTGGGGAGAAGGAGCGCGCGATGACGCTCGAGAAGGTCACCGAGGCTGTCAACATCATGAAGACTTCCTACGACAAGGTCCAGAAGGACCTCGGAATGGCGTCGCTGGTCGAAGCCAAGCTGCAGGAGAAGAAGCGGGACACGACTGGCCCAGTCAAATACCTCAAGGCGGAGTCCAAGAAGGTCGACGATGCGACCGGCATCCTCAAGCAGGAGTGGATCGAAGCCAAGAAATTTCTCGATTCTGTCACTCCCACCACTTCGCTGGCAGAGATGCGTGCCAAGACCGTGGTGTACGAGACGCAGAACGAAACGATGCTCTGCGTCTGGAAGAAGTTCTCGAATGAGGTCCTTACCGAGTTCGACAAGAAGAAATAACCTTCTGTCGAGATCCATGGCTCCTAGCTTTTCTTGGGCAGTCTGAGGGTGCGCTGCTATGCTCTGTGCTGCGCTGTTGCTGCAGCCCGGCACATGCGATGCTCGCGCGTCACAAGTCTGCCCGCTTTTGCGGGCATGCATAGGGGGGGGGGGGCAGCGGAAGAGCACCTGCAACAACAATCACCTCCTCCTCACACACAATCCCCCTCCAGAAGTCTCCCAAGAGTTGTCCGAGAGCGCTCCCGCTTCAGAGGCCTCCATAAGTGTTTCCAGAGTAATCTGAGCCCCCGTATTTCGTTGCCTCCTGGCAGGGTAGGCCATGCGGAGAGTGCTTGAGGTGTTCGGGGATTACGGGTGAGATCTTGTACCGTTTACGTGATGGCCTCTATTTCCTTTCGTGGGTGGCGCGAAAATCGCCCTTGACCCCCCCCCCCCCCAAGGATTTTTGTTTCTTCCTCTGGGGGGGGTCAAGAAACACATTCTCAATGCATCTGATCCCCCCGCCTTGTTCGCCTTGGCCGAACCGCTAAACTGTATGACCGTTCTCTTCCTTCGCGTCCTCCTGTTCCACCTTTCCATCGCGCTCGGTCCCTGAGGTTTGAATCCCTCCTCCTCCTCCTCCCCCTCCTCCTCCCCCTTCTCCTCCCCCCCCATCATAGCCGCTTTGGCTCGAGAAAGGGCGCGATTGAATTCTTTTGTGATGGCCCTCAATCGGCGGCCAGCGTTCGTTGCAGATGAGGGGCAATCAACCTCGAACGTGATCTCTGAAGCGCTGGCGCCAGCGTTCCGAGATTCTATTTTTCGGCCACTTGAAGTGCGAGTGCAGTTCTGATGACATGAAGCTGGGGACCGATGTGGCCCAGCTGCAGTTGTATTCGGAGAAGCTGCTGGCGCCTTTGATCGCGCTGGACTGCGGTTGGGCCAGCGCGATTGAGTGCCCCGTAACGCGGGCTCCAGGGTCTGACTGCCATCTCCATTGAGGGTGGACGATCCTGGAGGCAGCGGTCGATGCACTTGATCCGCCAGGACACGCGCGGCGGCATTTTCGCCCAGACCGATGTCGCCACCGCTGGGCAGATCCTCCGGGATGCGTCGGAGCTCTCTGCTGCGTGGGCCGACTTTATGAGTAAGCACAGTACGAGTGCAAAGTTCGTTGCGTACAAGGTCAGGGCGATGCTGTCGCATCTGCGGATCAAGCAAGCCCAGTTCGCAAAGCTCAAGGGCATCGACAAGGAAGATAGTGCTCGCAACCACCCTGAGGAGCTCAGGAACGCATATGCAATGTTCGAAGTGCACAGGGCTCCTTCGCCACCTGCGACTGCCAGGAGGAATCCCTTCGTGGCATTCGCGGCCGAGCCAGAGCCCGATGATGACGAGGACGCGCCTGACTACGCCATGGACGACGGCAACGCTACCGTGATTTGCAAGCAGGTCGTGCTCGGTGAAGCCATTGCGTACGCCAACTTGCGGCTCCCAGGCGGGCGCGTCGCGATGGCTGACACGTGCACGAAGGGCGACACTTTTGCAGTGGCGCACTTCGCCGAGTTCGGCGAGACGCTCAAAACCGAGATCCTGAACAAATACATCTCGCCAGATGCGAAATTCCTCGTGAGGCCGAGCGTCCCGACTCCCACCCCGCCCATTGGTGAGAAGAAATGTAAGAAACGCAAGGGCAAGGTCGACGACGACGCCTCCGATGCTGAAGAGCCCGAGGAGCCAGCCGTCAAGAGGAAGCCGGCTGCTGCTCGCAGAAGGCCAGCCGCAGTCACCCCAGCAGAAGCCGAGGGCGACGGCGCCGAGGCTGCAGCGCCAGAGGCTGCAGCGCCAGCTGCTGCGTCAGAGACTACCAGGCGGATCCAAGTGATGAAGACGCTGCCGCGTGACGCCCAGCTCGCCTCGCCCGAGGGCCTCGGCACGTCGAAGACCTACACGATCACGAACGAACTCGGCCGCTGCTCCATCTGCGTTCGTTCGGACCAGAGGTGCTACTACGTGAACAATGTGACCGACTTGCCATCTCACTTCGATGGCATTCTGAAGATCAACTCGAAAAAAGGTGTCACGTGCTCGTGGGGCTCATGCCCCGTGTCAGCGTCTGCTGATGTTTCTGTTGCTGTTGCTGCTGCTCGGGGGAAGGTCTCCTCGATGACGGCAGAATCCGCCTTTTCTGCTGGTGCATGTATCGAAGACGCCTGCGGCGATTCACTGCCGCCCCCTGCCTTTTCGAAAACGCCTTTGTGGTCGAAATGTGGGCCAAAGCAGGCCCAAACTATCGGACCGCGTGCTCTCCGAATCGTCGTGGAACATCTTCGGGGAACACATGGAGGAGGAGGAGGAGGAGGGGGCGGATGAGGAGGAGGAAACCTTTTCTGGAGCCGCTTGGGAGAGCTCTTGGGTCAATTCGGGAGCTTTCTGGAGGCCTCCTGAAGGCCCCATGTACGCACAACATACGTGCACAAATACACACAACACAGCATAATTCCAAAAGTTGGTGTTGATTCTAATTTCAATTCAAGAACCAATTTTTGGAATTACGCTTCCAATTATTAGTGCGCAACTAAATTTTTAGATGCCTAGATGCTCGGGGTCCGCAGGCGCGGCGGCCCCGGAGCTGCGGCCGCCGTCGCTGGAGGGCGTGCGGTCGATGCTGCTGCCACTCGGCGCAGCGGCACGGTCGCTGCGCTCGCTGCCGGGCACGGCGGGGACAGCGCAGAGCCTTGGCAGCGCCTGGGAAGAGTCAGTGCTGCCTGGCTTGCTGGTGTCGGCGCGGAGCCGGATCACTGGGATGCGCGACGAGGAGGTCAAGGCAACGGACCGCGATCAGCTGGTGCATTGCGTATCCGAGCCAGTGGCGGGCGTCTTCGCCGCCGCCGGCTCTTCGGGGCCCGCGGTGGAGGACCTGAGTGAAGAGTTGCTGCTGCTCTTCTGCCGCAGGCGGCTGCAGAGCCCTTTCCTCGAGAGGAGGCTGAGGGCCCTGGCCGACGTCAAGGAGGCGATCGACCGCCTGGGCCCGCAGTCCGTCAGCCTCGCGTCGCGGGCCGCGTCTACGCCTGGCGCGCAGGCTGCGTCGCTGACCTCCGCGGCCGGGCTGGCGCGGTGGCTCGCGGATGAGGAGCGCCACGGCCTGCTGCCGATCCTGCTGGGCGCCCGGGCGCACCCGGAGGTGCTGCGCAGGTCGTCTTTCTTGTTGCGCTTCCTGGCGCGGGAGGGGCTGCTGACCGCCGAGCGGCTGGAAGCCCTGTGGGCGTGCGGGTGTTCGGGGGACAAGCACGAGGGCCTGACCACCTGCGTGCTGGACCTGCTGGTGGAGGTCGCGCCAGGGCTGGACCGGGCCCAGACTGGGCTGCTGGTGGGGAAGGTTCGACTAGACGTAAGAGTGACCCTTCACCAGAGTGACCTTTGGTGCGGGCCCAATGGGGTCCCCCGATCGCCGAACGGGATGCAATAGTGGCGCCTTGCGGGCTTGTGTTTGGTCCCCCCGCGGCCCCCCCAAAACGCCGCGCACCAGAGGCCACTCCTACCCAGGGTCCACGTTTGCGTGTAGCCGAAAGGTCCGGGAGATGCCGCCGGCCAGCGTGGACGCCAAGTTCTTCCGCTTCCTGCGCGACCTGCTGCTGGCGGCGGCGATCGCCGACCCGGGCTCCCCGGAGCCGGAGGCCGCCGGGGAGCCCCGCGCGCGGGGGCCGCTGGAGCTGGGGCTGGAGGTGCTCTGGCAGTGCGTCCAGGCCGAGGCTGGGGACCCCGCGGCTGGCCCCGCGCCGAGGTCGGAGGGCACCAACTATACACCTACACCGATCCAGCCCAGGCCGATCCTAGGCCCAGGATCGGTGTATATGCATCCTGCCCATGGCAGGAGGGCGTATACACCGATCCTGGGCCCAGGGTGATCCTGGCCAGGATCGGTGTTGGTGTATAGTTGGTGCCTTCCTACGAGGGGGGCGCGGGCGTGCTTCCTGGACCTCCTGCGGAGCCCGCACTTTGCGGGGCACCGGGCGCCGTACCTGGAGGCCTGCTGGCGGAGCCTGGCGCGCGACGCGACGGCGCCACTGGCGCGCCTGCTCCGCGATATCGCCGATGCCTTCCCGGAGGGCCACCGCGACGCCGCGCTGCTCTGCCTCGGGAGGGAGGACTCGGAGGGCACCAACACCTCCGCCGATTCTGGCCAGACCGACCCTGGGCCCAGGATCGGTGTGTATGCCTTCTGCCGAAGCCAGGGGTGCGTGCGTGTACACCGATCCTGGGCCCAGGATAAGCCCTGCCAGGATCGGTGTAGGTGCACAGCTGGCGCCCACAGGACGGCGCCCCCCGAGGCGAGCCCACGGCCATCCTCCTCTCGAGCGCGCTGAGGGCCCTCGCCAGCGCGGACCCTGGCGGCGCCGCCAGCGACCCCAGCGGTGGCACTGCCGCGGGCGGCGCGGAGGCGTCCGGCAGCCTGGCTGGCGCTCTCGACGTCGCAGGCCGCGCGGCGGCAGAGCTGGCCCTCTGCATCCGGGGCGACGGGGCCAGCGCGATGGAGGGGCGGCTCGACCTCTTCGCAACGATCGTGGAGACCCTCCTGTACGTCCTCACGGAGTCGCGCCTGCAGGTCTGCTTCGCGGACGCGCAAAGCCTGTGGCTGGCTGCCAGGGCGGCCGGTCCGAGGGAGCTGGACCTCGCCGCGCGCTTTCTGTCGGCCGCTGCTGGGTTTACCTTTGCGTCGAAGGTCCTCAGCCGGCCGCGCTGGGCCGTGTGGTCGGAGTCGGAGCACCTGCGGTTCTTCCGGGAGGTGCTGTGCAGCGCCGAGGACGCCGGGTTCGCGAAAATGTCCCAGGACGGGCTGACCTGCTTCGTGAACTACATGAAGCTCTGTAACCTCAGGCTGTTCAACAGCAGCCTGCACGGCGACATCATCCAGATTGCCGAGACACCCGTCCTCGTGCCTGGCCTCTCCCAGTCTTCCCGGGTCGCGGCGTACTCTCAGCTCGTCGGCCGGGACGGGCCGCGCAGACTCAGCGGCCTGTGCGGGCTCGCCGGGGCGGTGGGACGGCGCTTTCGGGTGGTCGGGCAGAGCCCCGTGGGCCTCGCGGAGTTGTGGGATATGGCCCTGCAGATTCGGGCCCCGGCCGTCTTTGAGAGCTGCAGCGACTTCCTCGTCGGGTGCGCGCTCTCCGCGCAGGCTGGCAGCGGGGCCGGCCGTCGCCGGGGCGAGCCGGCACTGCTGCGGCAGTGCATGCAAATCTTGGGTGCTCCAGGAGAGGCCCCCGGGGAGAACGCTGGGATGCTGGTGCATAAGGCGCTGGCCATCCTGGCCAAGTGGCTGTGCCTCGCGCGCCGTTTCGGCGCCTACGAGCAGGCCGTGGCCAGCTGGCCGCTGCAGAGTTGCCCCCCGCAGCGCGACCGCCAGTCCCGCGCCGAGCCGGCCTCGTCCTTTCACGTGACGCTGAATCCTTCCTTGCGCGGGGAGGGCGGCGGGGCGCCATTGCAGCGCACCGTCTACGTCCAGAGGTCGTCGACGATCGGGCATCTGCGCGAGAAGGTGGCCGCGACGTTCCTCATGGAGCCCGAGGAGACACGCCTGTACGCCGCCGTAGGCTCGCAGACCCTGGACTTCGACCTCGACTGCCTCACCATCGACGAGTGTCCAGTGCCCGCCGCATTGTGCGCTTCGACCACCGCCACGCGCGGCCCCGAGGCGCTGCAATGGCGGCCGTCAGAGGACGACGCGGACGCGCTGCTGGACCTCCTCGGCGCAGACCAGGCTGGGCTCCGCTGCGAGGGGCCCGTCTGGGCGATCTTGGGGTGCCTGCCAGCGCACGAGCACGCGGCTAGCGCCTTCGCCGACGCCGCCATGTGGGGCCTCGAGGCGGGCAGCGCGGTGGAGCGGCCCCTGGCACGCCTGCTCGCCGAGCGCTCTTTGGCGGGCGCGATCCCGCTTGACCCGGCCGTGGAGGCCTTCGGGGCCTTCTGGCGCGCGAAGGCCTGGCGGCCCGCGCGCGGCGGGCCGCCTGGGCGGCCAGACGCGGCGCGGCTGCTCTACGCCCTGCGCGTGGCGAGCAGCCTGATGGCGGCCGGCTCGGCTGCGGATGCCGCGGACCGCTTGCCGCTGCTGGTCCGCGGCACGAGTCAGCCGCCCGGAGACTTGTGGAGCCTGGGGTTCTTGAGGGCGGGCGGCCTGGAGCTGCTGCTCCAGGTGCTGGCGCACCTCCGCGGGCGCGACTGCGTGCACGCGCGGCGCTGCTTGTCGCTGTTGGCGCTCTGCATCCGCGAGTTGCTCGCTGGGTGGCTCGGCGAGGCCTGGGACGCCACGCTGGGCGGCCACGCCGCCCTGGCAGAGACTCGCCGCGCGCTGGGGCCAGTGGTGCGGAGTGGGCTTCCAGCCCTCGTCCCGCAGCTGCTGGAGGCGATGCTGGGGATGCTTCGGCAGGCGACTCGAGACGCCGACGCCAGCGCCGTGGACGCCCCAGTTTTCTTGGCCTACAGCGCCCACGCCCTGAGGCTGTGCGCAGGGCGACCGCTTGTGCCAGACGAGGTCGCGTCTAGCGACGCCACAGGATGCAACACGCGGCGGGATGAGGTGAGCACGTGCGTGACGCGCGTCTTCTGTCTGCTCCAGCTCGCCCTGCGCGCCGAGCCCGCGTGTGTGGCGGAGTTCGGCGCCTTTGGGCAGACGGGCGAGCTGCTACAGGAGGGGCTCATGGGGCCAGACGCGGCCGTGCGCGAGGCCGTGGCGGCGGGCCTGGGCGCGCTGTGCACGAAGGACCCCAGTGACGACTGCTCCCTCAGCGGCGCCCTGCTCGCCAGGCTCCTCTTCGAGGTGCTGCCCCTCTGGCAGCGATGCCCAGCCCGCTCGGGCCAGCTCTTCGCCTTGCTCGCGCGGCTGCTGCAGCGGCGGCGCTCGCCGCAGCCGGCGGCCAGCGGCCTCGTGCCGCAGCCGAGGCCGCCGGCGCTCCGGCTGGACGAGCTGTGGGACGGGGCTGGCGACTCCTCCCCGGCGCGGGGGCAGCAGAGGCAGGGCATGAAGCGAACGGGTCTTGAGGGAAGCGGTCCTGGAGGGCTCTTCGCCGTTTTCAGGCCCCGGGGGCCCTCCAGACAGGACGGAAACAGCTGGCCCCCATGGCAAAGTCCGAGGGCCCAGGACCCCGTTCCGTCGGGACCCGCTTCCGTCATGGCAGAGAGAGGCGCGGCATCGAGGACCTCGTCGGCTCGTTCGTCCGCTGGCTGCGCGACGGCGCCGAGGGGGAGGAAGAGGGCGAGGGCACGGTCCTCGGTGTGCTGCAGCTCCTGTACAGCATCCTCCGCTGCTTCCCACAGATGAAGGGGGCCGCCTCCGCTGGCCTGGCGGAGGCGCTGCTGCGGAACTGCCTCGGCGCGGCCGCCGCGTCGCCCGAAGGCGAGGGCGGCGGCGAGGCCGCCAGGGCGCCTCTGTGCCGCTCGCCGCGGGGCAGGCAGGCGGCGTGCGCGCTGCTGCTGGAGCTGGCGACGGGGGACCCAGACGGCTGCGTTCAGGCGGGCCGCTCCAGAGAGGGCCCCGCCTGCGAGGACCGAAGGAGCTGGTATCGCTTCCCCGGCGGCAGGCGGCGGGAGGGCGGCGGAGGCCAGCGGAAGCAGAACGGCGGCGGCTCCGGCGGCGGGCGCCAGCGGCAGCTGGGCGGAAGCCGGCGGAACAGCTGCCCTCCCAAGAAATGCAAGGGCGCCCTCGAGGGCGCGAAGTTGTTCGCGCTTCGCGGTTCGGCTACAATTCCTCCTCATCCTCCTCTTCTTCCCTGGGAGGCGGCGCGAGAGCGCGAAGTTGTTCGCACTTCGCGCTTCGCGCAGCGCGAAGTGCGAAGCTGGAGCCCTTGGAAATGGCAGCACTGGCGCGCTTAGGGCTTCCAGAGCTGACCAGGTGGCCCGGCGCCTCACCGCGGCCGGGGCGGCGCCCCGGCCCGACCGCCCCGGAGGGCGCTGGTGCCCGTCGGGCTGGCTGGTGCTCCCGGACACGGGCGCCAAGTCCACCACGGGCTCTGGGGTGTTTCGCAATGAAGGTCAGGTCGGGCATGTCCCCCCACGATCTTGGAGGAGAAGTAAGACATATTCCAAAAATGTTCAAACATTGTCAAACAATAATCGAAACATCGTTCGGATATGTTTTTTTGTTTGACTACTTTGGAATGTTCCTCCTGTAGAGGGGCAGGCCCGACTTAAAATGAAGGGGATCAATGGGAAGGGGTCGAGGGTTGCGATAAAAAGAGTCCCCAAGGGGGGCCCCCTGGCGCCCCGAGGGTGAGCGAAAAGTGCACCTTCCTTTACGCCCCCGTCTCTTGCCCCCCCCGTTTTCTGCGACGCCCGAGGCTTCGTGGGGCTGAAGAACTTCGGGGCGACGTGCTACATCAACTCGGTGCTGCAGCAGCTGTTCGCCCACGCCGAGTTCCGGGAGGGCATCCTGGAAGGCACCGGGCCGCACCCGACTCCTCCCCCCGAAGCGCCGGCGGCGCACTCGGCGGAGAGGGAGCTCCTCTATCAGCTCCAGGTGGTGTTCTCGTCGCTGCAGGCGTCGCAGAGGCAGTTCTACTCCCCCAAGGACTTCTGCTCTAAGTTCCGCGACTGGGAGGGCAACCCGGTGGACGTGCACCAGCAGATGGACGCTGATGAATTCCTGAGCTTGCTCATGGACCAGATCGAAAAGGCCATGGGCGGCAGCCCAGAGCCACCTCTGGCGGGCGAGGGGGCCGAGGACCCGTGCGAGAGGGAGGCCAGGCCGGCATCCCTGCTGCGGCGTATCTTCGGCGGCACGCTCTGCACGGAGATCATTCCCAAAGACGCCGGCATTGCTCGGTCCGAGCGCCGAGAGGACTTCCTGGTCCTCTCGCTCGAGGTGAAGGGCAAGGCCCCGGGCAACTGCAACCATAGGGGCATTGCGAGATTCGGCCCATATCTGCCCCCCCACCCTTCCGCCTCCTCCTCCTCCTCCTCCTCCTCCTCCTCCTCCTCCTCATCCTCCTCTTCTTGGACTTTCTCTACCCCTGCTGCCCTGTGAGCTGCGAGAGGATCTTTCGTCAGCCCAGGCGTCGGACGAAGAGATCCTGGGGCTCGGAGCTCCTCGGGCTTGTTCCGGGGGGGGCCAGCGGAGAACTGCAACAGAACACGGGACCGAGTTGATCTCTCCCCCCTCTGCCCAGCGCACGGCGCGCGGCAATGACAAAACGCCGTCCGCCGCGGGGGACGCTTGGCCTGCAGTACCCGCGGCGGACGTCTTTCTCTGTCATACAGTCGAAGACGGTGATAAGGATGGGGTAACCTTCCCAAGGGTGCCCTTGCATCATTGCCTCTTCGATCCATCCTTGACTACTTTCGACGTCCCGCCGCGCTCGGAAAAGCTTCAACACGATCGTCCAAGGGGCTTGCATGCTTATCGCGCATCCTGTTTACGAGCTTTGCCTGTGGCAATCTTCCCCCGCGAACTTGCCCCCAGACACCCGAGGACGTGCTTTTCAGTCCGCGGCCCCAGAGGTCCTGACCATTGTCCCCATGGGAGGATGGCTCCTCGCCCTGGATCCGCTCGGCTGATGGCCTCTGGGCTCGAAATCGGCCCCCAGAGGCCGAAGTGAAGGACAAATGCCCGGACTGAACGGGTCGGTCCTTCGCATCCTTCGGCTGTTGGGGCCCCGGGCCCGCGCGCAGCAGGGCTCTGGCCGTGCGCGGGCGCGCTGCCCCGCGCTCGGCCGGCGGCGCCTAGCGGCCCAGCGCGGTCGGAGGGCGCGGCCCTCGGAGCCGGGCGCGGGCAGCAAAGGCCTCGGCCGTGCGCGGGCAGAGCTCGAGGAAGAGCACCAGACGTGGGCATGCGTTCGGGAACCATGCGACCGTGTTTTTGTTCCATGTTTTGCCGATCGGCGCGGGCCCTCGCACCCTCCCCCCCCCCCATATGGAGCAGGTCTTGGCTGTTTTTTGGCGCCTGTTTCGAGCAGGTGGAGTCTCTCCCACATGGGGCGCACTGCTGCAAACAGACGCGCCAGGCAGAGATCCAGAGCCAGACCCCCCCCCCCATCCCCCCCCCTTCGGCCCAGTGTCGAAACGCCGAATCAAAGAAGCTCACCATTTAGGGGGCGAAGAACGGTATACAATTAACTTTTCCACGGTCGGGGACGCCTCCCCCTGGCGGCTGCAAAGTTTCTGCCCTTCCGGTGCCACGTAGGGGTACAAGCTTTCCAGCCGCTTGGGGGGGGGGGGGCAGGCGTCCCTGACGGCGTAGCCGTTTATTTCATATTGTCCTTCGCCCGCTAGACCATGGCTGAACGTGTCGCGTCGCCGGCTCTGGCCCGCCACGCTTCGGCGCGACGCGCTGTCCGCGTCCCGGCCCCCAGGCGTTGACGTCCCGAGCCTCTGCCCGGCCTCCCGCCACGCCTGGCGGAGCAGAGCGCCGTCTGCTTGCAGGGCACAGCGCGTCGCTGGGGCCACCGCCGCGGCACGCTGGGCAAGCTTCCCCGACCTTGAGTTTTCGGCGCTCCGCGCGAATTTCTCGGATCGGCGCTGGACGCCCCCCCTGGCGGCGCCTCCAAAGCCAGGGGGTTCCTCTGCCGACTCGAGAAGGCCTCGCGGACCTCCGAATCTGTATGCTCTTCTTGGATGCTGTTCCTCTGAACGCTTTGGGGAAAGGTCCGCTTTGGTTTCTGAAGGGGCTGGATTCTCCTCAGGCCCTTCCGCGGCTCTTCGCACATCGTTCGTGCCCTCTATCCTCATCCTCATCATGTATCGCCCTTCTGGTGACCGGCTCAGCTTAACGTTTTTCGTGGCAGTGCCAGTTTATTCACACCGCCAGTGGATATGTGAAAGTTTGACCTGGGGTCTATCTTCTTGGGAACAGCAAGAGAGAGAGAGAGTCCTTTCCGCGGGTATTCCCCTAGCGCTCGTCCCGCATCTGGGCGCAACCAGAGGCTCCAGCAGCGGCTTCGTTCCTTCTTCGAGGTTCCTCATTCCACGCCTTCGGCTGAAAGAATCCACGAGTGCTGCGGAAGCCATCTTGTAAGTTCGGCTGGCAGCTTTCGACGTTCAACCCGCGGTGTGATTGGCGAGTGAGACTGTACCGAGTACGGCGAGGCTTCGACATCGACCTGGTCGGCCTCGACCTCGTCGGTTGCGGCAGGCGTTGTTGTGCTTGTATGTATGCATGTATGTATGCGTGTATACATATAACGGCGCACTGGGTCCGGGCGCCCGGGGCTGGCGCCGCTACCGCAAATGTGGCCTCCGGGGCCCTCGGGGAGCCCCGGGGCCTCACAGAAGGCCGCCAGAAGGCGCCAAGGAGGCCCCAAGAGGCTCCAGAACAGACCCGGGACGCCCGAAGGTCGCTCCCAGACGCCCAACATGGCCTCCAAGGTTTCAGCAGCCCCCAAGGCACCCCAAGCGACCCCCAATAGGGCCCCAAAGAGAGCCCCAAGGGGCCACAATAGCCCCATTTCCTTCGTAAAACGTATATGTTTAACATATTGTTTGTTTTCGCTGTCGGTCCGGCCCAGGACGCGCCCCAGAGGGCGCCCCAGAGAGCTCCAGGACGGCCCACGAACAGCTGCCCCGACCCTCCATGGCAGGACGGGGCGGCCGGGGAGGTCCAAAATAGTCCAGGAGGGCCTCCAGAGGCTCCCCAGACGGCTCAAGCGGGCCCCGAGTCGCCGAAAGACCGCTCCTGGACGCCCAAGATAGGCGCAAGACGGCCCGAGACGCCCCCCCAAGGCACTCCACGACGCTTTAAGACGCCTCCCCAGAGCGCTTCAAGAGGCCGAACTCGTTAATTTTTCGAAGGTTGTGGAGGGATTTTGGCCTTCCAGCCTTTTCGGCTGTCCGACGTTCCAAGCCCGCTCCATAGGCCCCCAAGAGCGCCCCGAGACGGCCCAAGAGGGCCCCCAGACGGCCCCAGAGGCGCCCAAGAGAGCCCCAAGACGGCCCCAAGATGCGCCCAAGAGGGGGACCACGACTCCAAAATTCGACCCTCCTGCTTGAAGAGTGCCCTAGGAGGCCCCGAGGAGCCCCCCAGAGGCCCCAGGAGGCCCCCGAGAGGCACCCAGGAGACCCAAACAAGGCCTCAAGAGGCCACAAAACAGCCCCGAGGAGGACCCACAACGGTCTCAAAATGGCGACCGAGAAGCTATCATCAGGCCCCTCCAGGCCCGCAGAGACAGACGGGCCCCCCCAGCCACATGACTTGGTCGGTCCTCGAATCGCGGCGTGTCGTGCCGCCACGACCACGCTCCCTCGACGGGCCAATCCCCCTCTTCCTCCCCTTCCTCCTCCTCCTCCTGCTCCCCTCCTCCCCCTCCTGCTCCTCCTCATCTTCCTCCTCCTCCTCCTCCTCTCCCACCTCCTCCTGCTCCTCCTTTTCCTCTTTTTCCTCCTCCTCCTCCTTTCCTCCTCCTCCTCCTCCTCCTCCTCCTCTTCCTCCTCTTCCGTCAAGGAACGTCTCAGGATGAAGAGCCGTCCCTGGGGAAAGGGTCGGAACTTCGGGGGCCGCGTATTGACGAAATCAGGACGTCGCATGTCTGTGCTATCCACGTCCCAGTTCCCGCGCGTCAGCGTCCCCAGCTTTCCGAAGCAACCCGCCCCGCGGATCGCAGCGACACGCTATCCACTCGCGTGGGCCGTAGCGTGTCGCCAGGGCCGCCGTCGCGACATGCGAAAGAAACGTTCCTGGCCCTCTGAGGTGGGCGGAGGGGGGGGGCAGAGCCTAAGCTGGGCCCCGCTTTGGAGCCTGACCCCCCCCCCCTATCGGGTGCTTTAATCGTGCTCCGCCTCGCGTTTCTGTGTTTCACGTGGTACCGCCGTGCGGACCCTAACGGGCGGGTCGGGTCGGGCGGGCGGGACATTCAAGTAGGACGCATCATCGAGGCAGCACACGCGAACCCCAACGGGCGGGTCGGGTCGGGTGGGCGGACCCTAACGGGCGGGTCGGGTCGGGCGGGCGGACCCTAGCGGGCGGGTCGGGTCGGGCGGGCGGAGCTGGGCGAATCAACACTCGGGCGAACCGAGACTCGGGCGAATCGAGCCGGGCGATTCGAGCCCCAGGCGAATCGAGCCGGAGCCCCGAGCGAATCGAGACTCGGGCGAATGGAGCCTCGGTCGAATCGAGCAAGGCGAATTAAGCCATGCGAATCGAGACTCCGGTGAATCGAGCCGGGCGAATCGAGACTCCGACGAATCGAGTCGGGCGAATCGAGTTGGGCGAATCGAGGTTCGGGCGATTGACGCCTACGCCCCAGACGGCCCCTGGGGGCCCCGAGTTGCCGAACAAATGCTCCCAGGCGCCCTTGATGGCCTCGAGGTGGCCCCAAAATGCCCCCAAGATGCTCTGCAAGAGCTTCCAGACGGCCCAAAACGCTTTCAAGATGTTCCAAAAGGGTTCCAAGAGGCCCCCCAAGATGCCCTCAAGAGACAACAATCATTGATTGCCTATCTTTTAGTGTACATTTTCTGCTACCCAGCGATCCAATACTACCTCAGAGGCCCTGAGAAACGCCCCGAGACGGCCTGAGAAGCTCCCAAGTGGGTGCCCAGATGGCCCAAGGAGCCCCCAAAACGGCCCAAGAGACCTCCAAGACGGTCCGAGGACAATTCAGGAGCCGCCCAAGATTGGCTCCAGAGGGTGAGCCTGAACTAAGATTTAGGCATCTCCACGCACTGGGACCCCCAGGAGGCCAAACAGGCCTCCAAGAGGCCTCCCAGGAAGCCCCCAGAAGCGCTGCCAGACGGCCCACGACGCCTTCGAGACACTACAGGAGCGTTCCACGTGGCAACCCAAGAGGGTTCCGAGGGGCAACACGTGTTTTACTTTACATAAGTTTTCGAAGGTCATTGGCACTTTTGCCTCTTCTCCCGTGCCCCTCTGCCGGCATGCAAGGATAAATATGGTAATCCCCGGAGTACCCAATTTAGTTCCCTGGTGTCCATGGCTCTTTTTCGGAAGTTTGGGAGGTTAATCGGCTCCAGGAGTAGGCGAAGTCGCAATTTCCACATCGGAATTGCACCAGGAGACCACTAATATGGCCAAGACATGCCCCAGATGGCCCAATATGGCGCCCAAGCCGCTTTACACGCTTTCAGATGGCTCAGGACGCGCCAAGACCGCTCAGTAACTCCAAGAGGTCCGCGCGTTGTTGTTCGGAAGAGCAGCCCCGCAGCATGCAGAAGGCCCGTGGTACCGGGGCCGCGCGCCAGTGCGCACAGGCACGCTGCCGCGTGCCCGTGTCGACCGTGGTGGGACCGCAGCCGCGGGGCTGCGATGGCACCCGTCAACCTTTGCGCGTCTGTCCGCGCGTTGTTGCTCGGAAGAGCAACCCCTCAGCATGCAGAAGGCCCGTAGTACCAGGGCCGCGCGCCAGTGCGCACAGGCACGCTGCTGCGTGCCCGTGTAGACCCTGGTGGGACCGCAGCCGCGGAGCTGCGATGGCACCCGTCAACTTTCCGCATCTGGTTGCGTGGGCCCGTGTGTGCTGTTGCCGTGCTGCTCTCTGGCTGGGTGGCAACCGTGAAGCCGCTGGGCGACGTGCAGCTGTCCCGAAGGCGGCCCCTAGGTGGCCCGTAAGAAGGCGGCCTTCGGCGACCCTGTGTGCGGCTCTCAACGGCCTTAGGGCGGCCCTGAGGCGGTCTTGGGCTGCTAGGAAACCAGTCCCGCTGCCGCGATGTTCCACCTCGATCCCCGAGGACAGAAGGCAGCCAAGCACGGGGGGTGAGAGGTGAAAACCACTGATTTCCCTAACGGTTGCCATTAATTTTTGTTAGCGTGCTCGCTCTCTCCTCGTCCCCTTCCGCCGGGCAGCACAGCCTGCCTGGGGCCAGCGTGGCGGCGTGCCCTCGGCCGCCTTCGACGGGCCCTCATGCCGCGGATACAAGTTCCGCCTCCGCGGAGCCCCAACACAGCCCAAGAGAGACCCAAGAGGGCACAAGACGGCCCAAAAGGGTCGTCCCGTGGGGCTCACGGAACCCCCCAAGACGGCCCAAGAGGCCCCGAAGCCGGCCCAGGAGGCCCCCAAGACGGCCTCAGGGAGGCCCAAGAGGGCCTCGTTTGAAATCATGTTCCTGGAAACCTCTCCGGGAACATGATTTCCGGGTCCCCAGGGACTCCTAGAGGGCCCCAGGACAGCCTCAGCGAGGCCCAAGAGGGCCCGAGATGGCTTGAAGGTGGCCGAAGAGGGCCCCAAGAGGGCCTCAAGAGGCACAAATCAGCCCGTTCCCGTAGTAAAACGTACATATTCAGCATACTCCCTTGCTTCGTCTTCGCAGTGCCCCAGACGCGTTTGAGGAGCCCCAAGGCAGCCCAAGAGAGACCCAAGAGGGCCCAAGACGCCCAAAAGGTCGTTCTGTGGGGCTCACAGAACCTCCCAAGACGGCCCAAGAGGCCCCAAAGCTGGCCCAGGAGCCCCCCAAGACGGCCTCCAGGAGGCCCAAGAGGCCCCAAAGCTGGCCCAGGAGCCCCCCAAGACGGCCTCCAGGAGGCCCAAGAGGGCCTCGTTTGAAATCATGTTCCCGGAAGCCTCTCCGGGAACATGATTTCCGGGTTCCCAGGACGCCCAAAGACAGCCCCCAGAGGCCCCGGACACGCCGAAGATGGCCTCAGGACGGCCGACGACGCCGCGAAAACGCCCCAAGAGCGCCTCCAGAGGCCCTTCCAAAGGGCCCCAGAAGCTGAAAACCTTGCATTTTCCCATGGTTTTTGAAGCATTCTTGCGCTCTCCCATGTTCCGCCTCCCCACGGTCCCGGACTGCGTCAGAGGCCCTTCAGATCGCTCCAAGACGGCCGAATAGCCTCCCAAGAAAGCCCAGAGAGGGCCCAGGAGGCTCCCCAGATAAGTCAAGAGGGCCTCGAGAGCGCCCCAAGAGAGCCCCAAGAGCGACCCAAGAGGGCCCGAAGAGCGCGACATTTCAAGGTCTCCGGCCTGAGAGGCTCCTAGGACGCCCCCAGAGACCATCAAGAGGCTCCCAAGAAGCCCCGTGAAGCTCCCAAGAGGCCCCCCGGAAGCCCCAAAAGGCCCCCAAGGGGCCTCCAGGGAAGCCCCCTGCGGGCCCCCAAGACACTTCGGTAAATCGTATTTCCCAGATAGTTTTCCGGGAACATGATTCCTTGGGCTTCCGCCCACCGCCCCAACCATGTTTCCAATAGGCTTGCCAACAAGGCCAAAAGGCGCCCCTCGGTAAGCCCCCAGAGGCCCCCCTCTTAGAGAGCCGAACAAATCATGCTGCCGGAGAGCTTCCCGGGAACATGATTCTCTATCTCGGAGTAGGGCCGGGGGGGGTGGGGGGCGGGCCGCTGCCTGTTCCCCCCATCGGTGCCCACCGGGAGTTGCGGGGGGGGGGTCCAGAGCTCCCGAGGCGGCCCGAGCCCGTCCCGAAGCAGGCCACGGCAGGCTAAGGGGGTCCCGAGAGGGCCCAAGACTGTCCCACGAGGCCCCGAAGACGCCCAAGATGCCCTCAAGACGGCCGACGAGGACTCCAACACGCTCCAGGACGGACTCAAGAGGCTCCCCAAGAGGCCCCTGGAAGGCAAGACTCGCTCGTTTTCCGAGTGTCTTGGATTTAGGCGTTCTCGCTCCCCCCGCTTTCCAGCGCTCCCTCACGGCCTCGGAGGCCCTTCAGATCGCTCCAAGAAGGCCCACGAGGCCCCGACGAGGGCCCCAAGGCGGCCCAGGATGCTCCCCAGACAACCCAAGTGTGCCCCAAGAGCGCGCCGAGAGAAGGCCCAGAGGGGTCCCGAGGCGGCCCGGGCCCGCCCCGAAGCAGGCCACGACAGGCTAATGGAGGTCCCGAGAGGGCCCTAGAAGGTCCTAAGAGGCCCCGAAGAAGCCCAAGATGCCCTCAAGACGGCCGACGAGGGCTCCAACAAGCTCCAGGACGGACGCAAGAGGCTCCCCAAGAGGGCCCTGGGAGGCAAGGCTCAATACTTTTCCAATGGTTTTTGAAGGATTTAGGCGTTCTCGCTTCCCCCGCTTCCCAGCGCTCCCTCACGGCCTCGCTCGGAGGCCCTTCAGATCGCTCCAAGACGGGCCACGAGGCCTGGAAGAGCGCCCCAAGACGGCCCAGGATGCTCCCCAGATAACTCAACTGTGCTCCAAGAGCTCCCCAAGAGAGGGCCCAGAGGGGGACCGCCAACCAATATTTCGATGTCTCTGGCCATCTATAGAGGCCGCCTGTAGGCCCCCGGAGACCACCAAGAGGCTCCCACGAAGCCCCGTGAGGCGCCCAAGAGGCCCCCAGGAAGCCCCAAGAGACCCCCAAGGGGCTCCCAGGGAACGCCCAAGAGGCCCCCCAACACACCCCAAGAAATCATGTCCCCAGAAAACCTTCCGGGGACATGGTTCATCATGGGCCCGAGAGTTCCCAGAGGCCCCCAAGGGGCCCCCAGGGAACGCCCAAGAGACCCCCCAGCACACCCCAACAAACCATGTCCCCAGAGAGGTGTCTGGGAAGTTGATTGGGAACATGACTGATCGCCTTCTCGCGGCCCTCCGCAGATCGTTTCGCACAACGTTGCCCCAAGTGCCCTCTTGAACCGACGACGACGATACGACGAAGACGACGACGACGACGACGACGACGACGACGACGACGACGAGGACGACGACGGCGCGCCCCAATAGGCGACGACGACATTACGACGACGACGACGACGACGACGACGGCACGCCCCAACAGGCTCCCCTAAGACGCCCCCAAACCCATGCTCCCAGAAGGCCTTCTGGGAACCCGATTCATACGGCCTCCGCCCCCCTACACAAACATTTTCCTCGAAGGCCTTTCAGAATGCAGATTGGCATGCGTGGACTGTGGTCCACTACTTCAGTGGAGCAATGATTTCGTCAAGGTCTGGGGCCTGCTAGAACCTGAGCGCGCGCGAAGCGCGCGCGATGGTTCTAGTATGTATGCATGCATGCATGTATGTATGTGTATATATATATTGTTGGTACATATGCCGACACATGTTATGTACGCACACGTCATATGTGAAAAGTTTCTGCAGCGTCTTTGTGTAATTATTCGGCCGCCGTTGTCCCAAGAGGCGTCGCTGCAGGCGTCCCTGGCGGCCTTCGTGGAGGGCGAGACGCTCGAGGGTGACAATGCGTACTACAGTGACGAGGCCGGCTGCAAGGCGGGTGGCGTGAAGCCTTGGCGGCAGCGACGAGCCCCCTCGTATTCCCCCTGTTCCAGTTCGTCCACCCCCATCCCCCCGTCTTCCCCCGCTCCTCCTCTCCTCCTCCTCCTCTTCCTCCTCCTCCTCCTCCTCCTCCTCCTCCTCCTCCTCCTCCTCCTCCTCCCCTTCACCGTAGCCATTTTGGCTCAAGCCATTTTGGCTCAAGTTCGAAACGCTTCTCTGGCGCTTCGAGCTTTGACGCAGCTGAGGGGAAGGCTTAGCGTCCACTTCCTGGAGACAGGCTCCACACATCTGTCCCGCCGTACGCTCGGCCTCGTGCAGACTTCAGCCGCACTACCTGGGTCGTGTCAACTGAGGTCGGTCCAGTTCCTGGCCAAGGCAGTCAGTTCATGCTAAGTGATGCCACCTCAGCTTCCCGCAGCGAACGTGGTGAGCCTCAGAGGAGACGACGAGCCCGCCAAGCCCGTAGAGACGATCGCCGACGTGACCGACAGCGTGACCGCTCATCCTCGTGCTCCAGCGAGAGCACCAGGCGCCGACAGCGCGCAGGCAGCTCCGCGCCAGCTTCATGATCATCATGTGCGGGGCGGGCATCGCGGTCCCGGGGCTGCCGTTGCGTCCGCGGGGTCGGGTCGTGATGAACGGACTCGGGGACCAGATGCCATCGTTTCTTTTGCTGCTCCCACCGAAGAACGCGCGCCGCATCGTGGTGAGGGACACCGTGATCGACACGATCCCCGACAGGGTGCAGGTGACCCTTGGCGCGATCATCAGCCTCCTTCTCTGGCTCCGTCCACTGGAGAGCATCGAGGCTGCAGTCACCGCGGCGTTTCGGCAACAACCGGGGGCGATGCGCGCGGAGGTCAACACCAGCATGGACACGGCACACGACAACACGCGGCAGACAGTGGTCGAGCTCTTACGCCCCCAGGTTGCGAGGATCGATGGGCACGGCGCGGACATCAGGAACCCCCAGGACAAGATGGACGACCTGGCCCAGGGCCAGGGAGCGCTCCGTGAGGATTTTGACGCTCAGACCTACCACTCCAGGGAAGTCACGCCGGAGGGAGGACAGCATCGGGATACCATACCATGTAACAGGTTTCGTGTCCCTCCCACTCCTCCAGGGAGGCCCCCCCAGAGCGAGGAGGGTATCCGCGACGCGTGTTATTTATCAGGTTTCGTGCCCCTCCCACCCCTCCAAGGAGGCCCCGCCTGAGCGAGAAAGGTATCCGCAACGCGTGTCATTTATCAGGTTTCGGGCCCCTCCCTCTCCTCCAGGGAGGCCCCGCCGAACCATTTATTAGGTTTCGTGCCCCTCCCGCTCCTCCAGGGAGGCCCCGCCTGAGCGAAGAGGGTATTCGCAACGCGTGTTATGTAGCAGGTTTCGCGCCCCTCCCACTCTTCCGAGGCCCCGCCAGAGCAAGGAAGGCATCCGCAACACATGTTATTTATGAGGTTTCGCGCCCCTCCCACTCCTCCAGGGAGGCCCCGCCTCAGCGAGGAGGGCATCCGCGACGCATGTTATTTATTAGGTTTCGGGCTCCTCCTGCTCCTCCAGGGAGGCCCCGCCTGAGCGAGGAGGGCATCCGCGACGCATGTTATTTATCAGGTTTCGGGCTCCTCCTGGTCCTCCAGGGAGGCCCCGCCTGAGCGAGAAAGGTATCCGCAACGCGTGTCATTTATCAGGTTTCGGGCTCCTCCCACTCCTCCAGGGAGGCCCCGCCATGCCATTTATCATGTATCGTGCCCCTCCCACTCCTCCAAGAGGGCCCCACCAAACCGAAGAGGGTATCCGCAACACATATAGTTTATCAGCATTCGGGCCCTCCCATTCCCCCCGGGAGGCCCCGCCTGAGCGAGGAGGAGGGTATCTGCAACGCGTGTTATTTATCAGGCATCGCGCCCTTCCCATTCCTCCAGGGGGGCCCCGCTTGAGCGAGGAGGGTATCAGCAACGCGTGCTATTTTTAGGTTTTTGGCCCCTCCCGCTCCTCCAGGGAGGCCCCGCCTGAGCGAGGAGAGTATCCGCAACGCATGTTATTTATCCCACTCCTCCAAGGAGGCCCCGCCTGAGCGAGGAGGGTATCCGCAACACATTTTATGTATCAGGTTTCGAGCTCCTCCCGCTCTTCAAGGGAGCCTGAGCGAGGAGGGTATCCGCAACGCGTGTTATTTATCAGGCTTCGCGCCCTTCCCATTCCTCCAGGGGGCCCCGCTTGAGCGAGTAGGGTATCAGCAATGCGTGTTATTGCGAAGGCCTGACGGCCGGTGCCGCCGACCCTGTTCGCAATGCGCAGCAAGAGGCACGGGCTGTGGGATGGTTTTGGGGAACGGGGAGAAGGACGAGAAGGTGGGGGAGGGAGGTGTCGTATCTGACCCGGGACTTCCCCGGGACTCCCCCGGGACCCCCCCCGGGACCCCCTCTCCCTCCCCCGGCGGGGAAGGGAAAGGGAAGGGGCTTCCCTTCGACTCAATTACGACGTTGCTCAAGGTCGGTACGGGGGGGGGGCGTCGTATCTGACCTGGGGGGGGGGTCGCTACCGCCCCCCGCTACCCCCCCCTCGCCTCCCGGCGGGGGAGGGATCAAAGGGAAGGGGCTTCCCTTCGACTCAATTACGAGGTTGCTCAAGGTCGGCTTGGCTGGAGCCCAGGGGAAGAGGAGTCCCAGGGGGGGGCGTCGTATCTGACCCGGGGGGGGGGTCGCCCCCCCCTCCCGGCGGGGGAGGGATCAAAGGGAAGGGGCTTCCCTTCGACTCAATTACGAGGTTGCTCAAGGTCGGCTTGGCTGGAGCCCAGGGGAAGAGGAGTCCCAGGGGGGGGCGTCGTATCTGACCCGGGGGGGGGGTCGCTACCCCCCCCCCCCTCCCGGCGGGGGAGGGATCAAAGGGAAGGGGCTTCCCTTCGACTCAATTACGAGGTTGCTCAAGGTCGGCTTGGCTGGAGCCCAGGGGAAGAGGAGTCCCAGGGGGGGGCGTCGTATCTGACCCGGGGGGGGGGGTCGCTACCCCCCCCCCCTCCCGGCGGGGGAGGGATCAAAGGGAAGGGGCTTCCCTTCGACTCAATTACGAGGTTGCTCAAGGTCGGCTTGGCTGGAGCCCAGGGGAAGAGGAGTCCCAGGGGGGGGCGTCGTATCTGACCCGGGGGGGGGGTCGCTACCCCCCCCCCCCTCCCGGCGGGGGAGGGATCAAAGGGAAGGGGCTTCCCTTCGACTCAATTACGAGGTTGCTCAAGGTCGGCTTGGCTGGAGCCCAGGGGAAGAGGTCTCCCAGGGAAAGGGAAGGACAGAGACGACGAGTACAAAGAATGACGGAGATGACGGCTCGAACGGAAAAGCCCCTCACACACGCCGACAGGGTCGGCGGATTTTCAGGTTTGGGGCCCCTCTCGCTCCTCCAGGGAGGCCCCGCCTGAGCGAGGAGAGTATCCACAACGCATGTGGTTTATCCTACTCCTCCAAGAAGGCCCCGCCTGAGCGAGGAAGGTCTCCGCAAGGCGAGGTTGTCTTATCAGGTTTCGGGCCCCTCCTTCTCCTCCAGGGAGGCCCCGCCTGAGCGAGGACGGTATCCGCAACGCGTGTTGTTTATCAGGTTTCGTGCCCCTCCCGCTTCTCCAGGGATCCCCCGCCTGAGCGAGGAGGGTATCGGCAACGCGTGTTATTTATAAGTTTTTGCGCCCTTCCCACTCATCCAGGGAGGCCCCGTCTGAGCGAGGAGGGTATCCTCAACGCGTGTCATTTATCAGGTTTCGTGCCCGTCCCACCCCTCTACGGAGGCCCCGCCTGAGCGAGGAGGGTATTCGCAACACGTGTTATGTATCAGGTTTCCTGCCCCTCCCACCTGTCCAGGGAGGCCCCGCCAGAGCGAGGAGGGTATCCGCAACGTCTGTTATTTATCAGGTTTTGTGCCCCCCCCTTTCCTCCAGGGAGGCCCTGGTAGAGCGAGGAGAGTTTGGGCAAAACGTGTTATTTATCAGGTTTCGTGCCCCTCTCACTCCTCCAGGGAGGCCCCGCCAGAGCGAGGACGGTATCCGGAACGCGTGTTGTTTATCAGGTTTCGTGCCCCTCCAGGGAGGCCTCGCCTGAGCGAGGAGGGTATTCGCAACACGTCTTACATCGGCCCAATGGAAGTTCCCTGAATTGCCGTCATGCCGCTCGCTAGCGAAAGCCGGCGGAAGTAAAACGAGGTGGAAGACGGCGGAAGGCTGTTGGAAGGCTTGCGGAAGACAGCGGAAGTAGATGACGCTTTGTCCGAACCCCCCTACCCCCCGTAGAAGCCCAGCAATGTAGTCTTCTGCCGTGGGCCGGGCGGGATCCCGCCGAATTTACTCCCCTTTAGTATCATAATTTAGTTCAGCCAGACTAAGGTCCCACCCGTTCGAAATAGGGTAGACAAGTATTCCGGGCCGTCCACGGATCCCGCCATGCTGGGATCGTTTCGCAGTAAGATGGGGCTCCGAAGTTGCAGCATTCTTGGCATTTCAGGGTCGTCTTGAGATCATCTTGGGATCATATTTCGGTCATGCTTGGATCGCGCAGCCGTCGCGTGTTCATTCTAGGGCCACCATGGGCGCGCGTGGGTCCATCTTGTTGCCATCGGGCCATCTCGGCGTTACTCGTGGCTCATGTGTGCGGTCATCATCGAGTCGGCCTGGGACGGTCCAGAATCCATGGCGGAATCGTGGTGGGGTGGCGTCATCCCAAGGTCGTCTGGACGTTACCGTCTTTGGCCTCAGGCCCTCTTGGAACTATTTTGTCGCCATGGGGGCGTCTTGGTATCTCGCGAGCGCGGGGCACGCGCGCGCGACAACTCATGTCGTCGATGGGCGTGCCCACATATACTTCCTGTGGCGAGTTTCCAAGGAAACTTTTTTTGGAGCCAAGTATGCATCAGGTTTCGTGCCCCTCCCACTCCTCCAAAGAAGCCCTGGCGGGTATCCGCAACGCGTGTTGTTGATTAGGTTTCGTGCCCCTCTCATTCTTTCAGGGAGGCCCCGCCAGAGGAGGAGGGTTTTCGCAAGCCATTGAGCTCGATCTGGACGGAGCGCGAAGGACTGCGAAGGAGGGCGGATGAGCGGGAAAGAGGATGGAGGAATGGGAGGATTGAAATCGATCTTGGAGGAGTGCGGAAGAGGAAAACGGAGGACCGCGGAGGAGGCCGCAGGAGCGGGGAGGAGTGTGGCGGAACGGAAACAATGATATCGATTTGGGAGGAGTGCGGAAAAGACAGGAAGAGTGGGGAGGAGGGTGGAGGAATGGGGAGTTCAGGTCGAGCTGGGCTCATAAGGCTCATCGGGATCGTAGGTCGCATGTCGTTCATAGTGCTCGTCGCCAGTTCGGCGATGCAACGCGACGGAATCTTGGAAGCAGGAGGAGGGGGAGAGGGAAGAGTGGGGTAGAGAGAGACACGAAAGTCCCAAACCAGAGGAAGAACATCTCAGACCCGAAAGGCTCGGATTTGAACAAAGAAAAACATTCCAGACCCGACAGAAACATACCTGAGCAACCCGGCACAGAAGCATGCCCAAAAGCAGCAGGCCAGAAAACAAAACCAACTCGGGTCCGAAACAAAAATCAGACTCGAAAAAGACTAGCAACTCGAAGAAGTCAGGCACGGGATACCCAGACCAGAGAAATAGCTGACATCGGCAGCCTTTGACGAGATAGTCACGAAAGTTCTGCCCAACGAAGGTCAGACGAGAAAGTGCACGAAAATCTCAGGCGCGAAAGCCTCAGACGAAACAAATGCGAACATATCAGGCCCCAAGGACACTGACATGGAAGAACAGCCTGAAAGACCCAGACCCGGTGGGGGGAACAAATAACCCAGACCTGACAAAAATCAGGCCCGAAAGCCAGAACAGCTCAGACCAGAAAAGCACAACACGCAGACCCGAAAAGCTCAGACCCGAAGAATCATAACAACTCAAACGCGGAATATTGAGACCAGAAGCGCACGTAAAGTCATGCCCGAAAGACGCAAACCAGATATTTTCGAAGCCGAGGACAAAACCAAACAACGCAGACACGCCAGACTCAGACCCGAACTATTCAGACCCGAAGAACAGACAACAACGCAGACCCAAACAGTTCAGACCCAAACAATGAGAGAACATAGCAAAAACGAGTCAGGCCCGAAATACGCAGAACCGAATACCAGAAAACTCAGACCCGAGAGGGTAAGACCCGAAACGCCCGAAACGCTCAGGCCCGAAAGACTCAGTCCTTGAAGTGGTATGATACAGACACCGCGCGATGGAATCGCAGCCGCTGGAACAATTAGATTTCGATTTCATCTTCTTGCACAGGGTGTCTAGAGCTCCGACCACTTTATTCCGCGTCGCACACCCCCCCCTCCCCACGTCTCCAGCGCCAGAGTGGGACCCCCGCGCCGTGGCTCTCTGCCCCGAGCTCCCCCGCCCCAGCGCCCCAGCGGGAGCCCCGCCCACCGCCCCCTCGTCCACGAACGTATTCCTCGTCGCACATCCCCCCTGTCCCGCGTCCCCAGCGCCAGAGTGGGACCCCCGCGCCGTGGCTCTGTGCCCCGAGCCTCCCCGCGTCCCCAGCGCCCCAACGGGCCCCCGCCCACTGCCCCCTCCGCCACGAACGATTTATTCCGCGTCGCACACCCCCCCCCCCCCGCGTCCCCAGCGCCAGAGTGGGACCCCCGCGCCGTGGCTCTCTGCCCCGAGCCCCCCCGCGTCCCCAGCGCCCCAGCGGGAGCCCCGCCCACTGCCCCCTCCGCCACGAACGCTTTATTCCGCGTCGCGACGCACACCACCTCCCCCACCTCCCTCCCCGCGTCCCCAGCGCCCCAGTGGGGGCTCCGCCCCGTGCCCCCTCCGCCCCGACAATTTTATTCCGCGTCGCGACGCACACCCCGCCCCCAGCGCCCTAGTTGGACCACCGCCCCGTGGCCCTCTGCCCCAAGCCCCGCCCAATGCCCCCTCCGCCCCGACCATTTTATTCCGCGTCGCGACGCACACCACCTCCCCCCCTCCTCTCCCGCGCCCCCAGCGCCCCAGTGGGACCTCCGCCCCGTGCCCCCTCCGCTCCGAGCACTTTATTCCGCGTCGCGACGCACGCCACCTCCCCCCTCTCCCCACCTGGGGGAGCGTTTCTGGAGCGCTCTTGGGGCCGTTTTCGGACCCCTCGTGGGCCGTCTTGGACGCCTGTTGGCCCATCTTGGGCCCTCCAGGGGTCTGTGGGGGACCCTCTGCGAGGCTTCTGGGGCCGTCTGGGAGCGGGTTTGGGAGCCTCTTGGGGCGTCGGGGAGCATCGGAAAGGTCCGAAGTGGAATTATTGAAACATGTACATTTCACGAAGGAAATGGCCCAATTTTTGCGTCTAGGGACCCTGGTGGAACGCATCTGGGAGGCCCTCGGGGGGGCTCGTGGGGACCTCTTCTGCCGTCGAGGACGCCTCGTGGGCCGTCTTCGGGCCAACTTGGGCGTCTTGGAGCGCTCGTTGGGCGTCCCAAACCCATTTCGAGGCCACCAGACGCGTCCCTACACGATTTTCATGCGTTTTTGCACGATTTTCGGGAGCGGATGAGACCTCCGGGGCCGTCCGGGGCCGTCCGGTGCCGTCCGGTCCCGTCCGGCCGGACCCCCCAATTCCCCCTCCAAATGGACCGGACCGGGCTCCCAGGGGAGGGGTTTGGGGAGGGGGAACATCTCACACGCCGATGAAGCCCAAGGGGTCGGCGGATTTAATTGTTTTTTCAACCGTGATTCCATTGGTAACCACGATCATGTCAGACGCACTGCTCTCCCAGGCCCGCCGCGCCTCCCGAGCTGCGCTCAATCTTTGACGACCCAACACGCCCCCCCCCCCAGGTCACGTGCGCTCCTCCTTCCCTTCTCCTCCGCCCTCCTCGCCCGGCCCCCCGCCCCCACTCCACCCTTCCTCCTCTCTGTCCAAGCTCCTGCACCTCCTCAGGCTCCTCCTCCCCCTACTCTACTCCTGCTCCTGAGGAGCTGTACGTGCTTGATTCCCCTGTGGTCGTTTCACCGGGGAGCCTTCGTGGACTGCCTGACCTGACCTGCCCTTTTCCATTGAGGAGGGGGAAAGGCACATAGGCACAAATAATCGTCGACGCCCAGAAAACTGTGCGAATGTATGGGCAGTGGAGGGGAAGACGAACATCCAGAAAACGTCGGAAATGTTGCGGATCCTTGGATTTGTGTCTATTCATTTGTGTGTCCCTGTCCCGCTCCGCCCGAGTGGTAAGGCCACGTGGCCCGACGGAGATCCTAACGTCCAGAGGCAGGGATGGCAGAAGACGCGAGGCGTTCCAACAAGAACCTTGCCTTCGCGGATTGAAGGAGTTGCCATCTCTTCCGCGGCGGAAGGCGGCGGAAGTAAAACGAGGGTGGCTTCGCTGGCGGAAGCCAGCGGAAGGCCGGCGGAAGCCAGCGGAAACAAAAGTCGACCCCCCCCAGAGATGACAACAATTTTTGGTTCAGGGTTTTCGGAATTCGCCGTATCTTATGGAGGAGATATATCTTGCGGAGGCTTGTCCAAGGGGGGTTGTCCTGGGGTTGTCCGGATCCGTCCTGGATAGTGCAAGGGGTTGTTTGGGGTATGCCATCTTGTCGTCATTCATTAGCATGGGTTGTCCGGGTTGTCCGTGGGTTCTCCGGGGATTTTTTTATGATTGGATCCTCATTCCTTTGAACATTGTGAGGCCACGTGGCCCGACGGAGGGCCTAGCGTCCAGAGGCAGAGGCTGCGGAAGACGCACCACAGGCGTCAGTTCCTATCTGTGCCAGGTCCGCTCATGCCAGGGAGACAGAAAGCCAGGCAGTTGACTCGTCCCGTGCTGGTCCTTCTCCCCTAGCAGCGGGCGCTGAAAAGACAGCGTGCGATGTGGCGCCGCCGGCCCGCTCACTGCACGCGATCCTCCACCTCAGGAGTAGCGTGCACCGGGAAGCTGTGGCAGGGGGACAGCGTGCACAGAAGAGGCCTCTGCGGGTGGATCGCCTCACAGAGATGGCTTGCCTTTTCGGAGATCCACGCCGCAAGCTATCTTTCCATGGCCAACCGTGTCTTCTTACATCCCGGGCTGCCCTTTCGCGGAAAGACAAACAGGTGGACGCCGAGAAGCGCACTTCTGTGTACAAGCTGCCAGAGACGCTGATACTGGTCCTCAAGCGCTTCGAGTTCGACTTCGACACGATGCAGAAGGTGTCGGCAGCGCGCAGAAAGGGGCCAGGGCACAGGTGAGGAAGAGATAACCGTGCTGGTGGCCCTTCCATCGTTTTCACTTTCTTGGGCCTCGTCTGGGGCCCTCGTCGCCACGGCTGGACTCGCATCGGACTCCTGATCAGAACGCACTCCCAAGAGAACTCCATGGAGTAGCGGCTTGGGCGTTGCGTAATGGGTGGGGCGATTAATGGGGGGGTCCGTTGCGGTTCGTCCAGTTTCAAATCGTCCAGGTTTCGAAAAGGAAGAAACGAGGACGAATCGAAAGAGTACCAAACGAAACCGGACGAAATGAAAGTCCGCCGGCTTCCAAGGGTCCGCGCGCGCGGATCTCTTGGATCGGCGCTGGACCCCCCCTCCCTGGCGCGCGGAGTTCGGGTGTTGCGGAATGGGGGGCCCCACACGCAGGGGGGGGCGAAGCAAGGTGCCTTTTTCGTTCACCTTTGGGGCCCCCGAGAGCTCCTTTAGGGCACCAGTTCTTGCAGTCCTCACTCCCCACATTGACCGCCACCCATTACGAAACGCCCGGGCGGCATCGTTTCCTTTTGGTTGTCCCCAGGGGCGAAGGGAGGGCGGTCGTGTGAGGAGGCGCGCTGTCTCTGAGGGGAGCCGTCCTGGGAATTCTTGGGAACCGTCCTGGAAGCCTCCGATTCCTCCCGAGAGACCCCCCTGCCTTCTCAGAAGGTGGGGCCCCTCGCCCCTGTCGGAGGAAGGAGAGGCGACACCACCAGCACCAGGGGGGCCACCTCCAGCGAGGGGGTCCACGATGCCACCCCGAACTGGGGATAGGGGGCGTCTCGAACGAGAGGGGGGGGCCACATCACCAGGAGGGCCCTCCCTGGCGTCTCGCGCTGGTGGTGGTGGCGTCGCCATTCCTTGTTCCTTCCCTGTGCCCGATCAAAAACGCTCGAACTCGGTCCCCATACCCCATCAGGAGTTCCATCCTGAGCAGTCTTCCGAGCCGCGTCCAGCCGTGGCGACGAGGAACTCCAGAAACGTCCAGCGCTTCCAGAACGACTCCACCACCAGAGTATGTCCATGTCCACCGCCTCGGAGCAGTGCCCTGGGATCTCGAGAACCTCTTGAGGAGCTGTGGATATGGATCTCCGCCCGCCCCCAGGGCGGGAGAGTGTCGACGCCCACCCCTCCCTACGGAGCCAGGACAGGACCCGCTGCTGTGGCTGCGGATGTTCCCTAGGCGTCGCAACGACGACGTCGACCATGCCGCTGCGACTCTTGCGAGTTCTCGAAGACGACGCCGCAACGACGAGGTCGACGATGCCTGGTGGTGCATTGATGGCGTTGGCGACATGCGACGGCGCCAGAAGGGCCACATGTACGACGACGCCAAATGCGAAGCTGAACGGCCTCTGCGAGTTCCCGGGGCACCTTCTGGGTTCCACCTTGGCCAACTTCGCGAGTCGCGTTCAGCCGTGGCAGCGAGAAGCTCGAGAAGCACCCCCAAAATCCTCAAACTGATGTCGCCGAACACGACGCCAAAGGTGAAGCTGAACGACCTCTGCGAGTTCCCGATGCACCTCGACATGCGGCCGTACACCAAGGAGGCCCTGGACGGCGCTGGACCTGAGAGCGGCACTGGCGGGGAGGAGACGGAGACGACGACGACGACGACGACGACGACGACGACGACGACGACGACGACGACGACGACGACGACGACGACGACGACGTCGGCGGCGGCGGCGGCGGTGGCGGCGGCGACGGCGACGGCGACGGCGACGGCGACGGCGACGGCGACGACGACGGCGGCGGCGGCGTGGTCATGCTTGTCCGGTGCATTTATGGAAGTTCTCATGGCCAGGGCTTGGCGCAGCCCGAAAGACTGGTCAGGGTGAGCCCTGGGAGGTGTCCCGGGACCGAGTTTCGAGAGCATTTCGACGACGATGGCGACAGCGACGGCAGTGGTCCCAGACCCCCGTCTTCGTGTTTCCTTCAAAAACTTCACATTATGGACGCTTCGCGTATCCCCACCAGAGTTCCGTAGCTTTTGGCTCAAGCCGTCTCGGCTCGAGCCCGCCCCTGCTCAGGTCGGCGCTCGGTCCCAGGTAATGGAGTCCGCGGCGGCGCGGCGGCGCCGGCAGATGCGCGCGGCCGTCCTGCGCCGCTTGGGCGCCGCTGGCGCCGTGGACGCCGCGGGCGGCGCCGCTGGGGCCGCGGGCGCCGCTGGCGTCGCGAGCGCCGCTGGCGCCGCCGCTGCCGGCGGCGCCGCGGTTGCCGCCGGCGCCGCCGGCGCCGCGGCCGCCGCTGGCGCCGCCAGCGCGGCGGGCGCTGCCGCCGAGGCCGCCGCCGCGGCCGGCGCCGCCGCGGCCGCCGCTGCTGGGGTTTCCCCCGCTGCGGCCGCCGCTGCCCATCGGGCGGCCGCGGCGGCCGCCTGCGGCGCCGCCGCCGCCGCCAGCGAGGCCGCGGCCGCCGCGGGCCTCTGGGAGACCGTGGCGGCCCTGGCCCGCGCCGCCGGCCTCGCCGCCGGGGCTGCAGGCTGCGGCGGCGCCGGCCGCGGCGCCGGGCCGCGCGGCGAGTGCGGCGCCGGCCGCGCCTGGGCCCTGGGGCGCGGGGGCGGCGCCCGCGGATTGCGCCGCCTCGGCCGTCCCCACGGCCGCCGGCGGCGCGGCCGCTGGCCCAGCAGCTGCGGCGGCCGCCGCCGCGGAGCTCCCGCGGCGGCAGCTGCAGCCGCAGCAACCACAGCAGCAGCAGCAGCAGCAGCCGCAGCAGCAGGGCAGCAGCAGCTGCAGCAGCAACAGCCGCAGCAGCAGCAGCATCAGCAGCAGCAGCAGCAGCAGCAGCAACATAACCCAGCAGCTGCAGCAGCAGCAGCAGCAAGGCAGCAGCCGCAGCAGCCACTGCAGCAGCAGCTGCAGCAGCAACAGAGCCCCGCAGCTGGAGCTGCAGCACCCCCCGCAGCAGCAACAAGAGCCACCCAGCGACCACAAGAAGAACCCACGAGAAGACGCTGAGGTACCCGCGCTCCCTCAGCAGCAGCAGCAGCAGCAGCAGCAGCAGCAGCAGGACAGGTGTGCTCTCGGGAGTTGCCCCGGGAGGTCGTCAAGAGGCTCGGAGGCGCCAAGGGGAAGTCGAGGTGCAAAGCTGGCACCCCCGGCATCCGCGCCATGGACCACTCCGTAAACGGCACGGACGTCTTCAGCAACATAAGTACGGTCAAGCCCGTGGCTCTGCAAGGCACTCAGGAGGTCCTCGACGAGAACCCGATCTTCACCGAGATCCCCCGAGAGCTCTTGGACCCCAAAGACTGGCAGCTCGATTTCGCGGCCCGCTTCTCGGAGGCCGAAAACATCATGGCACTGGAAGGCAGGGGCTCTGTGGCGGCCCTTAGGCATGAGCTCCGCTCGACTGGACCCTTTGGGTGCTCACTTCTACATCTTGGGGATAATATATCGCTCATTTTGGCTTCGGAAAAGGGGAGGTCGTCCTCTCCAGGCGTCTTGAGAATATGTCGGCGCCTACTCGCACTCTCTCTTGCTGGCGATGTGCGGGTCCGACACCGCTGGCATCCTTCGGAGCTGAACGCCGCTGATGGTGGCTCGCGGCTCTGGGAACGTGAGGCGGCGCTGCTCGCAGACGCGGAAGCCCCGCGCTTCGTCCAAGGGCCCTGCCAAGCCGACCAGGTCGATCCCCTTGTCCGCGACGCTCTTGCAGGACATCCAGGCGGCTGCTCGCCCGTTTGGCTTGGGCGTCGCCAGCGACCTGGCGCTGGCCGCGGTGAAGCCCGCGTCGTGGCCCCGCTACATCGGCGCCCGCAAGCGGCTCCACGCGTTCTGCCTCCGCTGGGGCTTTGTGATCACCTCGGGCGAGGCGGCGGACGTCGCCATGGCCGAGCTGGTCCAGGAGATGCACACCGACTGCGACGCCCGCTCCGCGGGGCAGGGGCCGCGCGCAGCCTGGCAGGCAACATGCCCGTCGGCGGGGCGATGAGGTGCCGCGCTGCCGAGGTCTTGCCGAGGGCTGCAGGCCTGGGCGCGGTTGCACCCTGCCGCGACCAGGGCCAACATCAGGATGCCGCTGGAGGTCAAGCAGAGGGGCCCGTGGAGCGCGGACGCCTCGATGAAGAGGTACGAGGCGGCGGCGCGCCTGCTGAGAGAGGAGGCGAAGCTACCGCGCTCGGCGCAGGAGCCGGCGCCCACCGCGGTCGGCAGCCTGCCTGCCAGCCTTTTGGCCGCGTTGAGCCGCCGCCAGGGAGCCGCCGCCAGCGCGGCCACTGTGTTGAGGTCTTCGCGGGACGCGGCCGCCTCTCGCAAGAGCTTGCCCGCCGTGGACACGTGGTATACACTTTCGACATCGATCGTGCAGCCGATCGAGACATCCTCAGGGCTGACGCCTGGGCCTCTCTCGTTGAGCTTGCCTGTGCCCCGTCCTGTCGCCTTGTCTGGCTGGGGGCCCCCTGCGCCACCTGGCCCAGAGCCCGAAGGGCCCCCCCCCCCCCCCCCCCCCCCCCCCCGGGATTCAGGGCCAGGGCTGCTTGGTGCCCCCGGCCTCTGTGAGAAGGATTCTCAGAGAGTCCGCCTCGGCAGCGCGCTCATGCGTGCCTCGGCTAGATTGGCTCGATTGTGCTGCGAACAGGGGATTAGAGTCGTTATCGAAAATCCGATGACCTCGATGATTTGGTTGACTCGTCCTTTCGTTTCCTTGAGGCGTCTCGGGGCCAAGCTTTTCACGGCCAGTTTTTGTCAGTGCGAGACCCCCCGGCAAAAGAAGACGTCCCTTCTGGCCTTTAATTGCCCGCAGCTAGCTCAGATGCACAAATGTTATATGAAGAGAGGGCGCTGCTCGGCCTCCAATCGAGAGCATGAACAGCTCGTCGGCAAGACCGCAGCTGGGAAGTTCAAGACGTTGGTAGCGCAGCCGTATCCACAACTGTTTGTTGAGCACATTTGCGCGCTCCTTTTTTGAGACGTTTCGCTGCGTGCCTGCGGCCAGTTCCAATCTTGGGGCTGGGGGTGGCAACGCGCATGTCCAGTGCCTTCGATCAGTGCGCTTGTCAGCTGGCCTGCTCCCAGGCCCTTCAGTGCTATCGGATATGTTTGTTCCCTACTTAGGCTCTGCCTAGAGGGTTCTTACTCTCTTAGCTTAAAGGGGCCGGGCAGTGCTACACGCCCTGGGCGGTTCCCCTGGTCCCCGGCCCGCGGTTCCCCCAGTCGCGCCCCCTTAGCTTGGCTTAGCTTATCTCGTCTTAGCTTAGCTTGGCTTAGCTTAGCTTGGCTTAGCTTAGCTTGGCTTACCTTAGCTTCGCTTAGCTTAGCCTAGCTTAGCTTAGCCTAATGTAGCTTAGCGTAGCATAGCATAGCATGGCATAGCATAGCACATCATAGCATAACATAGCACAGTATTGCATAGCATAGCTTAGCATAGCGCCCCGTTAGCTTGGCTTAGCGTATCTCGTCTTAGCTTAGCTTGGCTTAGCTTTGCTCGGCTTAGCTTAGCTTAGCTTAGCTTAGCTTAGCTTGGCTTACTTTAGCTTAGCTTAGCTGAGCTTAGCTTAGCCTAATGTAGCTTAGCTGAGCGTAGCATAGCATAGCATGGCATAGCATAGCACAACAAGTCATACCATAGCACAGTATTGCACAGCATAGTTTAGCATAGCTTAGCATAGCATAGATTAGCATAGCACAGCGCATCATATCATATGATAGCATAGTACAGCATCGCATTGCATAGCTTAGCTTGGGCTTAACATTAGCTTAGCTTTAACGTAACTTTAGCTTAACTTTAACTTAGCTTCAACTTAGCTTTAGCTTAGCTTTAGCTTAGCTTTAGTTTAGCGTCAGCTTGGCTTCAGCTTAGCTTTAGCTTAGCTTTAATTTAGCTTCAGCTTAGCTTTAGCTTAGCTTCAGCTTAGCTTTAGCTCAGCTTTAGCTCAGCTTTAGCTTGGCTTTGGCGTTAGCTTAGCTTTAGCTTGGCGTTAGCTTAGCTTTAGCTTAGCTTTAGCTTAGCTTTAGCTAAGCTTTAGCTTTGCTTTAGCTTAGATCTACATTTACTAATGCTTCTTTCCTAGGGGCTCCAACTCCTAGGTAGGGTCGCACTGGGATAATTCTTCTCTGGCGGTGAGAAATGAGCGGAACCACATGGATGTGCTTGCTCGGGAATGTTGTCAGCGTTTTGTGAGCACGCCGTCTTTGAGAGCTGCATCGTGTCATTGCCACGATGGCTCAAGTTTTTCTGGCTATCCCCAAGCCTACCCCTTTCTCCCTCCTGCTCAGCAAAGCTGGGGGGGGGGGGGGGGGGGGCGACACGCATTTCCAGTGCCTTCGATCAGTGTGCTTGTCAGCTGGCCTGCTCCCAGGCCCTTCAGTGCTATCGGATATGTTTGTTCTTCTCTGGCGGTGAGAAATGAGCGGAGCCACATGGTGATGATGTTGATGATGATGAGGATGAGGAGGAACACGATGATGATGATGAGGAGGAGGAGCATGAGGATGAGGATGAGGATGAGGATGAGGATGAGGATGAGGATGATGACGGTGATGATGATGATGATGATTATGACGATGACGATGAATATGATGAGGTTGTTGTTGGTGTTGTTGTCCATGATGATGATGATGATGACGATGATGATGATGGTGATGATGGTGATGATGCTGCTGATGATGATGATGATGATGATGTTGACGATGATGATGATGATGACTATGAGGGTATGCGGAGGGCAGGGTGAGGAGGGAGGAAGGAAGGAAGGAAGGAAGGAAGGACGCGGGGCGTTGTCTCTCCAAAACGGAGACCCATCACCACAGGATGGTTGGGAAATCTGTGGATCCGGAAAGGTCTGGACCCTTCCCTGGGACTGGCCTGTCATCCTTCATCCCCAGTTGTCTCTTGACGGTCCTGGGGCCTGGTAACTACTGGGCCCCTGGAGGCCAGAGATTGCCAGCGCGTGGTGATTTCTGTCATGGCGATAAGGGTTCAGTGTCACCAGCGGCGGCGGAGGAGTACGCGCTCTGCGGGGTGCTCCTGCATTCCGGGACCGCGGACTCGGGCCACTACTCCTCCCTGGTCCGCGGGGGTTGGGCGCGCCGGCCGTCCGCCACAAGGAAAACAATTATAACGAAGGCAGTTCCCTGCCACCAGGACAGCAGAACGACCGCGACAGCGCCCACGACCAGGACTTAGGAATCATGGCCCAGGGCGCTGCTGCGTGATGCCCCCCCCCCAGGGCATTTCTCAATCGTCATCCTACACTACACGCCGTCGTCGTCGTCCTCCTCCTCCTCCTCCTCCTCCTCCTCCTCCTCCTCTGCTGGCTTCATTCCTTCGGCCCACGGGAGTCGAAGTTCCCGACCCCACGTCCAAGCAGATGGCCCGACATAGCCCCAGCGCGTTCGGGGCGCAACTCCGAAGCCTGCTGCATCCCGCAGCCAAGCGCTGGATCCTTTTCTTTTTTTGGGGGAGGGGGGGCCAAGTCACGTCGCCCTCTGCAGGATTACGTTCACAAGCTTTTGTGTAGCGTGTCGCTCCGCTGGTACTGGCCCACCACGCTTCGGCGCGACACGGTAACTACGTCCCAGCTTTCAAGCGTCAACGTCCCGAGTTTTTCCTAGCCTCCCGTCCAATGAAGCGGAGCGACATGCTATCAGCCCTCAGGACAAAGCGTGTCGCCGGGGCCGCGCGGCGCCACGCTGAGCAACAATTCCTAACCGTAGACCTCTCTATGGACGGTCGCCTCAATATCTGCGCACACCCCTCGTGCCCGCGTGATCTGTTCAGGCGGAGCCCATCTCGCTGGACGCGGATCGTGAAGCGGACCAGGGGTAAACCCCGAGAGGGCCCCAGGCTATCTCCATCATCCGCCTCTTCTCCCTCCTCCCCCCCTCCTCCTCCTCCTCTTCCGCCTCCTCCTCCTGAGTCCCTTTTCCTTATAGTTAATGTTTCCCTGTCGCACCCCCAGACGTGGGGGTAGGGCGGCCCGGGCATTTCGCTTGAGATGTTCCCAGAACTTGTTGATTGACGCTCCTGAAACTGAGAGTTTGAAACAATTACAAGGAGCGCCACGCACCGTCGGCCTTAATAGTCCAACAGGTACAGGGATGCAGGGTGTGTGTGTGTGTGTGTGTTCAAATGTGGTTCTTGCCGTAGCACCGCGCACATGCGCTTCAAAACAGAGCAGTTGCAATCATGGAGGGCGTTTCCTTTTCGAAGTGGGGCTCTCGTCAGAGCGCAGCGAACACTCGTCCTGAGCGTGTACATCGACTGCAAGGATGGAGGGTGGCTCCATTTCAAATTTCGGCTCCCAAATTCGCTTTATGAGATCTCCTTCCGAGAGATTGATACGGTTACAGGGGTGGAGAGCGGTTCCTTTTCAAAGCGGGGCTCTCGCTTTCGCGCTGCCTGCGTTCGTCATTCATGTTTCAATCATGTACAAGGATTGGTGGTGATTATTTGTTTCAACGCGTGGCTTTCGTTTGCGTCCTCCCTGTGTTGCTTACCATATGCAACATCTGCACAGATAGACGGCGGCTCTTCTTTTCAAATCGGCGCTATCGGTTGAGACGTTCTAAGAAAAGAAGTCTGCTACCGCGTAGTTCGCCACCAGAAGTCAAGTTTGAGCATCACTTGCACGGGTGAAGGGGGCGGTTCCTTTTCGAATGGGGCTCTCGCGGGACACGTCATTACGTTTTATGAAAATCGGTTGTCGCATTCCGTATAGTCCGCTACAAGGGAGCTAGGCAGATCATGTTCAAAAAGGGCTCTCGCCTGAATGGCAGGCACACAGGATGCTCGTCATTCAAGGGGGTGTTTCTCGCGTTAAACGCAGGCCCGCACGGTCTTATGAGGATGGGACTTGAGAAGGGAGGGCTTACTGCAGCATGATCTACTATGGTCCTCCTCCTCCTTCTTGGAGAGTCAAGTCTCCAGATTGGAAGAGTTGTGTGGGGATTATGTGGGCAGTGGCACACCCAGCATGTCCAGTTTTGAAGTTCGGCAGGCTGCTCTTGATGTCGTGTACGCAAGTGTTGCCATGGATTTGGAGCTTACCAGCAGTAGGATGACGGACACCCCCCCTCAAGACTGTCTCGCAGAGGGCCCGCAGTGCCAGGACCGTGCACGTTCCTCTTGTTCAGCACTGCAGAAATCTGAAGTTGGCTTGGAAATCCTACCTTGTTCCCTTGAGGTGGATGGTTAAATGGGTCCAGAATGTATGTTGTTCTTTGGGGAACGAGGCTGGTCTTAGAATGCATCTCGAGAACCTGGAAGGCTGTCCTGCCGAGTACAGATCGGTCCCCTCGCTTATCTGCCATTTGGATAGGGCCAAGTTGTTGGCAGAAGGAATTCGACAGGACCTTGATCAGCAGTTTTTGAACAGGTACGTTGCTGAAGGCTTACTTGGAGATTTCCGGAAGGATCTTGCAACTGTTTTGAAGGCTGAGAGCTCCAGGGACACCCTCGGCTCTATCAAGTCCTGGAAGGAATGGGTTCGAAGTCAAGGCAGCTCTGTCTCCTGGATGCACAAGTGGACCAAGGGGAAGGATGTTTGGAAGCCTGGGGAGGTGCTGCAGCGCTCGGGCCAGTGGTCTGGGCAGCCTACCAGCATCCTCAGGGCGGAGGCGGATAGGCTGGAGCGGCTCTGGAAGGGGGATGCCTACCCAGCTGCTCCGTGGCAAGTGAATCATGCTGATAGGAAGTCTGTCCCCCCTGTCCACCCCAGATGAGCTGAGGAAAGTGTGTGCTGCTTTTAGCTCTCAGACGTCCCAAAAGTTTGACGGTTTCCATCCCCGTCACTATCTGATGTGCTCTGACCAGCAGTTGGGAATCATCGCCAGGCTTCTTAGATGTATCGAGCAGCACGGGCAGTTTCCCTCTGTCTTGCAGGCGGTTGTCACATGTCCCATACCCATACACAACCCTGGCGCGGTCAAGTTTCGTGGTATCGGTCTGTGCGTGTCTCTGTATCGTGTGTATGGCAGGCTACGTCAGTGTGTTGCCCGCTCTTGGGAACGACCTCATCGGCTTCGTTGCTTGTGTCACCAGAAGGGCGTTTCCATTCTTGAGCTCGTGTTCGGGCAAAACTTCAAGGCTGAAGCGGCTAACATGTCGGAGAAGAAGATTCACACGTCGGCTGCGTTGTATGATATGAGTAGTTTCTACGACCATATCGACCTCAACCTTCTCTGGACCAGGGCCGAAGACACGGGGTTTGACATGCAGGTCCTTGCCGTGGTCTGCAGCATGTACCGTGCGAAAGGGTTTTTCCAGATGGAAGGTTATGCGTTGGAATCCTCCTTCCCTATGCAAGGCATTTTGGCTGGGTGTCCGTTCGCTACTTTCCTGGTGCAGGTTTATTCCGATGGGCCAGTCTTAAAGCTCCAGCAGGTCTTGGGAACGTCTGATCTTTTCCTCTTCATCGACGACTGGGTGATTCTGAATCAAGATTCGGACCCCAGATCCCTTGCCACTAGAACTGTCGAGAGCTTGGCCCAGGTAATCCAGTTGATCCAGGATGACCTGCAGTGCGCAGTTGCTTATGATAAGTCTGGTGTCGTTGCCTCTTCGGACAGTATCGGGCATGATCTGGCCAGGTCCATGGGGAAGTACATGAAGTCCAAAGAAATCTCAGCTGCAAATCTTGGTGTGGACACCGCGGGGGGCCAGCTCAGACGTCGAAGAGGTGCCGCCCGTTTCTTGAAGGAAAGAATCAAGAAGTTGAACCGTCGCAAGCGAAGACTAGCAGTCATAAGGAAGGGAGGTGCCAACATGCAGAGGGTGCACCTCGCCGGTATCCAACCCTTCGGGTATTATGGGGCCGAGGTGGTGGGGTTGGACGCAAGGGAAGTTGCAGCAGCGCAGTCTTTCTTCTTGCAGACAGTCGGAAGCGCGCGTCCATCCAGGCCCCGCGCGTTGTCGCTTCTCATTCTCCAGGACCCCACTTACAGACTTGCCCTGGGACCTGTCATCACCTGGGCGAACTTGGTTTGGAAAGCAGCGACCTGCCCTGGATTCGAACCCTCGCTGCCACGGCTGAGGGAGTTTGCCTCGAACATCCTGGCTAGGCCGCCGAGAGCTTGGAACCAGGTTAAAGGACCTCTCGGAGCTGCTGTTGTCTCTCTGCTCAGAATTTCCTGGAGGTTTGTTCCCCCCTTTGTTTTGGAGGACCACGAGGGTCAGGAAGTTGTCCTAACTAGCGCGTCTCCCGCCAAAGTTCTTTGTGATCTCAGAGCTGCGTGGATGCACATGCTGGCTGCGAAGGCCGCCAGCAAGTTCGGACACCCAGGAGAGATCCTGGACACAACTGTCTGTTGCCAACTACTCTCCCCTGGAAGTATCCTGTCGCATGCAGTGAAGTGCATGTTGACGGCGTTTGTTACACAGTGCTTGTGGTCCAAGTGGCGCCTTGCTAGATGTGGTTATGATGTGGGAGATATGTCATGTCCTCTGTGTGGTTTTTCTAGGGATGATCTTCACCATCGCCTGTTTGCCTGCTCTGCTACTTTCAGTGTCAGGGATGAGTATCTGAAGGGCGATGTTTTGGATTACATATCCCGTGAAGATAAGAAGAACCCTCTCATGCTTGGCTTCCAGTTGGTTCCTGAGAGCATTCTGAGTCCGCCCGATGGCCTGGGGCATGCGAGTTATACCTTCTCCTGTGCGGACCCCAACCTGACCCCCTTGGAGGCGTTCAGAGACAAGATGTGCTTTCATGGCAGGTCCTGTTTCAAGGAAGGTCACAAAGTTCTTCACTGCGCTGGTTGGTCATGTGTCTGTCTCCAGGGGGATGGGGGACCTTTTGCTATCATATCGGGCAAGGTAGGGGCCAAGCTGCCACAGACGAGTCCTGCTTCGGAACATGTTTGGGTTTCTGGCAAGCTGCAAGCACGCTAGCTCGGCGCCAGAATTCTGCGCGGACTACAAAGGGCTCGTGGCAGCGAACGAACGGCCCTTGGAAGTGGTTGCTGACAGAAGGTCGTATTATGCTGGACCCTTTCTCCTTGCTCTGAGCCACCTGCCCAGGAAAGAAGCCATTTCCATCGCAAAAGTGAAAGGCCATCAGAGTGCTGATT